TCGTTGACTATGTAATCGCGGCATTTTTTCCAGTCACCAGCGAGCATTGCACGAGAAGCCGCAACAACGTGCTCCCGAGTGTTTTCAGGTGGACCGATCAGTGATGACTTAAATAGAAGGTTATGAGTATGATTCTGTAGAGTGAGAGAGAGGTTAGTGCAAGGGGAAGTTCAGAATACACTGGTTATATGGAATTAACACCACAAAATAGTATATGAATATAATAAATATCAGCAAAATGCAGAAAACATTGGATAACCAGGGACACTTCATATTGTTCTAAAAAATCCAGCGATTTCAAGGGGTTCGAACTTGATAAAAAGATATCGCGAGTTAAGAGAATTAGAAAGTCATCGGTCGACAATGAAAGCAGTACACATTAAAAAATATATATATATATATAAAACACCAATTGAAACTGGTTTTTACCTTCTCACTCTGCTTCAGTTGGTAATGGAAACTTCGACTAAGCAATCGTCGACGCATTTCAAATTCGCAGCTAGCCATATGAGGAATTTCGAGCAACATTGAACAAATAAGATAGACGCATTCCATCAGTTCTACGTTAATGTGCATATGGTAAGGGATCTGTCGTTGACGCTCCAACTTCTCCTGAAAAAAAAAAACTATTCAAGCACAATGCTTGGAGCATCGTGACGTCCAGAAATCCGTTGCGATGCTCCAAGCACCAGAAAGATTACATCACACAATTGTGTTTCCTTAAACGAGCAAAACCAGAAGCGATTGACATTGAAAGGCTGATCCATGGTAAAAAAGATAGCCCTTACCTGCTCAGCGGTCCGTTCGTGCTGTCTCATTGCTACCGCTTGAGCGAGCAATTCCTTAGCTCGTTGTGTGTTTTGGATTTCAGAAAGACCTTGGTGAGCTTCCTTGATGAAACCATGCCGGAATGCACAGAGCCCCAATTGACAGATCGTACGATTGTAGAGGATCTATAAATGACTACCGTGATGTTTTCCACTAATTGAATTCCGCTACAGACAGAATTCAAGGTTTTCTGCATTCAATAACTGGAATGCACGGACCTGTGTATCCGTATCGGAATGATCAACAATGGCTTGGAGATGACTCATAAGCATGAGATCCCTTGCACGGTGCCATTCGTCGTGTAAGGCTAACCAGTACACGTGGCAAAGCATCGCCCTCTGTCTCAGCCGTTTCTCCTCATCGAGAGCGTAAATTTTCTTGCATAGGCGATCCATAATTTCTCCAACAGGTTCGTCTCCTTCGTAGTTGTCTTGATACTATAAACAACCGTAATTGGGAAAAGATGATTTGTGTAGTTATCTATGCAGCCATTTTTTCTAAAGTTTTCGCTTACGCTGAGAAAAGATTGGTGAAGATCAAAAATCATCCATCGAAAATTATGCTGTACGTTTAGGAACGGTACTACACAACTGAACTGTGGTCTCTGCACTGAAAAACGAGAAAAAGTATACCTTGTAGTAAAGGTGTTCGATTCGTGTCATATACACTTTGCAAACTTCGTCCACATCGAAAATGTCCTCATGGATACGTTCCTGCACGTATTTCTCGGTGCGCTCGATCAATATGCACATGTCTTTTTCACCTTTCAACCTAAAAGCAGGAAACTACACAAATAAATCAAAGTGTAAACTCTCACATTAAAGCTTCAAAAACATATTGCTCTTGAAGAAAAACTGTGAAAGTTCGTGTTGTTGTTATACTCAGTGTTTTCGGTGCATAAGACTAGTCGAACTGGTAAAATCAGAAACCTAGAGAACCTGGGTTGTATTCAAAACTCTGACAGATCCTAGTAACGCCCTTCCTCATAAATTATGATTAAATTTGAGAGGAGGAAAAAGTTTTTTAAACAATAACAAACTTCTCAATGTAGTCGTTCGAGTGACAATCCGCGTTCTGAAGGATTTTCGTCAATTCGCTGTCTAGACGTTGAACTGTCATCAACAAAGATCCTTGGATTTTGAACGGGATGGTATCATCCTAAAAAAAGATCTTTAGAGAAAAGCTGAAAATGAAGGAGCGCTTGCACTGGATCTTGAGATAATCAGCTTCAGTCTACCTTCAAATTCTCCTCTTCCTCAGTGAATTTGACGGAAAGTTTGACCTCAGGATGCGCTATCAGAATATCGAGAAGCTCCGTTACAGCAAGAAGTGTCCTTAAAGATTTTGAGCAACTCCAGAGGTAGATTCGATCAATAGAAAAACGTGGATCATTCAAAACGTGCCAAAATGTTGGCTCAGAACCAACAATCAAAAGGCATAATGCGATGCGATGCGCACTAATGCGATGATTTCAAGAAAAAGTTGAAAACAACGGCAGCGATCTTAATCAACAGTAAAGTTGTCACCCGACACTGTCATGGTTACTGCCTACTACCGTACATAATTTGATAATATGACCATATTTTAAGTTGTATCACCTGTATCACCTGTCGTCCCGTTGAGGGTATGTGTACGAACGTGCGTCCGAGGATTCGCGCGGCAAACTGCGCGGCGAAGTCCGTAATGATTTGAACGACTTTGGCGCCTATCGTTGGGGCCCAAATTCGAAATAGAGTGGATTAGGAGGATCATCTGACCCTGCTAAACTACCCTACTTCGA